GTCAGAATGGACTTGAAATACAGGAACAAACTCTGCAGATCAAAATTAAATTCACAGAGTATCGGAACCCAGGCTTTAGAATTCTTCAGCAAAGCCTTCAACTGAGTCCTAGCAAACAGGGGGAAGCATCAACTTTTCCCATTTTAACTTCTTAGGCAAAATCAAATATCAACCGACTTTAAAATAGCCTCTTTTTTATGTTTATGGTTCCATGTGTGTGTTTTAAAAGAGCAGATCTCTAGTAGCCATGACTGTAAGTCAAGGTATTTTAACTTTTCATTACACAGCAAGGCTTTTTGCTGATGAGTCTGAATTATCGGATTCAGGAAAGGATTTCCTTGTCTCTTTTTATACCATTTAACCATACATCTCACTTAAAAAAGACTTCAACAATGGAGAAGCGCATCCTGGTATACACAAAACCAGTGAGCAGAACAGCACAGCAACACAGAAAGCAAAAACTTACATCGCAATCCTATGCGTGTTTATTCAGAAGCAAGTTCCATTTTGTTCAGTGGGACTTATGCCCCTGAAAATGTGCACAGGACTGCAACCTAAATGTGGAAATTAAGCGGTCAGTGCAAATTTTCCCAGCAGGCGCAAGTCATTATCATCTCAGAATCTCCATACCTAGTAGCAATAGCTAGGACATTTTGCACAGACCTACTCACACAAATACATTAAAACCAGTGGATTCCTCCAAAATGTGTGCCTCTTTACAAGGGTCCAACCTGTCATTGGTGATCCATAAAATGTTTCAGGTTGGTGGTTGAGCACAGAGAGGGACCTTCTGGTAGTGGAGTGGGTGGGCAGGTGGGTGGGTGGAGAGGAAGGGATGTTGATCCCCCACCCTGCTTTTTCTTCCGTGTAGGTTTCCAGCGCTTAAACCAAATGCCGAAGAATGGCAGGCACTCCTGCTTATATGGTGTCCTCTCTGCCTTAAAGGGTTAAGGGGAGAGGATAATGTGGCCAGAGCAAGAGGACATCTTTAATCTGGGGAATGAGAGGAAAGTGGTGCCAAGTGGACTCCATAGAATCACAGAATGTATGAAATGTTGCCAGAGTTCTTGTAGTATGTGGTTTATCACACCCAGTGTTTTTTCAAGGAAGAGGGCCTCCATCATCAACGTTTTAACATTTTATTTATAGCTACAAACTGCACAATTGGGAAAGCTCTCTGACAGTTCATACCAGAGGTAAAACAGTAAAACAAAACGATAAACTCTCAATGAACTAAATAACCATAGAAGAAAAGCAGAGGGCAATGCATTGCTATTCAAACAAGCAAGGTCTCTGATGGGTTTGCATTTCTGGAACCAATCCTCTTAATGCTGTAAGATGCATTAAATGAAATACTGTAGTAGTAGGCATAAACTGGAAACTATCTAAAAACTTTTGGGATATGTGAAGTCGCAATCTGGCTCAACTACAGTATCAGGAAGACCAGGAATCAACGCTTCTAACAAGGCACAATTTTTTTTTTTTTAATTGTATCAAAGAGGCTGGGACAATTTAAAAATGGGAAATAGAATTTGCACAGAAAACTTTTATATTATGCTACTTCAGGGGAAAATTTTAATTAATCCCATTTTCATTCTGCATTGTAATTAGCTGTTTCTTATGCATAAACTCAGGTCAAAAGTATTTAAAATGCACCTCAAGAAAAGGAAAGTATTATACTGTATTTGCAACAAAATATTTGATGGTTCTGTGATCATGCCCCAATAATTTAGCAATTTCAAGAGTGCTGCATACCTCTGAGAGACCTTTTACAATTTTTGACTTTTCAGTGTCAGTTAAATCTCTCTTTTTTTTTTTGGTCCTTTTTTCCTGTCTAATAATTATAATTATAATAATTATTATAGGGTGTTGATCTCCTTAGGCTACCCCTCCCTCAATTCACAAAAACGCATCACCTGATATGCTTATATCCAATAAGCATTCGAGTTTATACAGCTTGGAGGTGGAAAATATGCATTAAAATGATGATATGGTCAAAATATTCACTTGCCTAATAATTGTGCACACAGTGTAGGCATGTCCCATCAGTAGCTCTCTGATATTTCACTAAAAAGGTTGTTTGGTCCTAAGTAATATGGACCTTCCTTATGTAAAGCATAAAGCCTTCCAAAGAATTTCCTCTTTTTTCTCAAAAGGCTCTAAGCACATAGCAGTAATAGTTGCCCTAAATATCTGAAGGACACCAACAATGTATAACATCATCCAGTTGCACTGTGATAAAAAATGTCTCAAAGCACATCACTACATTAATACTGGGTAATGCTATTTATCTGTAGTGCAACTAGTATAAATTCAAAAAGGTCACGCTTTTCCCAGGTGAAACATTTCTGTTTGATTTTGAATATTCTATACCAGTGGTCTCCAACCTTGGCAACTTTAAGACTTGTGGACTTCAACTCCCAAAGTTTCTCAGCCAGAGAAACTCTGGGAGTTGAAGTCCACAAGTCTTAAAGTTGCCAAGGTTGGAGACCACTCTTCTATACCACCCTCCATTTCCCTTCTATGTCTAAATGTAGTTGTTATCTGCAACTATCAACATGTCTGCTTGAACATCGGGATATCTGATCCAATTCTTCTGTACCATGACTTTTTACTTGCTTCTGATGTCCAACCATATGTCACTCTGAAGTATCCGTTTCTTCTCCTGCCCCTCCCATGATAGTTATTGCCTATGCCAACTCTCTGTGCCAACTTAGTCTCCCCTGAAAGTAACTAAGGATACCTTGCAAGGGGTATCAAGGGCACAAGATAGATAGTTCTGGGAAGATGCACTTACTCATAGGGACGGGTCATTGTTGCACTACCAGGTGCTGCCAAGTGTAGAGATCGTGCTAGCTGCCTTTCCAGACCTCTTGAGAGTAGTGTAGAAAACTCTTCTGGGGTGTCCCTCACTTGCTGCAGCCCCATTTCCATCCAAGGGGGCAGGATCAGGGCGGGGCAGTGGAGGAGGAAGACATGGTTAAATGGGAGAGAATGAGACAGAAGTTAACATCATCGAATACTTGCTATTCACATCTAAGTAGAAAGGGGAAAGAAATAAGTTGAAAACTTGTTTTATTTAGGCAGAAAGGTTGGAGCATTGGAATATTTGGAGTTGGGGAGAACAAGCCTTTCAGAGATAGGAGAGCAAGAACTTCTCTGTTTAAAAGCTTTATAAAGNGGTGAGATTTGAACCGCTGAACTGCAGAACTAGCAGTCAGCTGAAGTGGCTTGCGTTCTTGCCCCTAACCACTGCGCCACCTCGGCTCTTGGGTATTCCCAAGTGCTAATGAAATACAAGCAGCACAGCAATGCCCAGTGTGTAGAAAGGGCTGTTAGAGCAAGGAGGGTTCAGGCGAGGGGCAGAGGAAGCAGTTGCGGTAGAGAAGAGTCCATACAATGGACTAAAGTCACCCAGGGAAGCAAAGTGATGCATTGAGGACCACATTAAAAAAGGGGGGAGATTGCTCCTGTCAGATCCGCCTTCTTCAGCTTAGTGCTTAGCTGGCATTCTGCCATAAATTGTTGGGGAGGGGGGAATGGAAACAGGCAATTGGCATGTAGAAGGTAGAGGAGATGCAAAGGGATGGTGGTGGTGACAGCTTTAAGAGAAGCCAGAAGTGTGAGAACTAGCCTGTTCCAGTCTTCAAGTCCATGGAGCCTGGGGAAGGAATGTGAATTGCACCAGGTGGCACCAAACACCGGAGCATTTCTCAAAACACCTCTACAGAACAACATTACGGGATGATGAACCAGGCACATAGGAAGGGCTGGGGAGAAGGGAAAACGTTGTAATGCTTTTTGCAGGAACTTCAGTTCTAGCCTGCTTTCGCTGCAATCACTAGTCAAAGAACCCATCACTTCAATCAAATGAAGTCGAGGGTCTTCCTTTCCTAGGGACCGAGCTGGGGCAAGCGTGACTGGAGTAATAACAGCTGAAGTGCAACAGGGTCTCTTTTGTGAAACTCAGACATCCTTACTGGAGTTTCTGGTCATTTTTTCCCCCTACACAGGAAAAGGATGTTGGGGGATAAAAAGCAGTTATGTTGCACATCATCCTGGTGAAGATATTGGATGGGAGAGACCCATGCTCAGTTATATGTTGAATTATCTGAATTAACACTGCTCTTAATATATCTTCTTTTATGGGAATAAATGGGGAGAGAATTGTGTGCTTTTTCCTGAGCAATCTGGAGGAAAAGCCCGGTAAAAGTGTGACAATTAAAACATTACAGAAACAAATTTGGGTTGGTACATGCGGTAGGTCATTCTGAAAATACCTGTATGAGAGGCAAAGCCAAGATGGAAGCATCTGAGCAGACAGGAGATGTGAATGTAATAATTCAGCTGATTCTAGTGGACGTGTGTTGTGAACCCTCAAATGCATCCTCACTCCATTTCCCAACAGAGCTTCAGATATGACTGGATGCCCTCATACTTCTCCCCTTTAGCAGCTCAAGGAAATTAATTCCACCGCAGTGGAGGCCGTATATATGCCATCATTGCCAAAGTATCCCAAGATCCATTAACCGGCCTTTCTTCTTCAGGGGTCCTCTCTCCTCCCAAATCCCTTGTGGATCTCTTACCGTGACGGTGGGAACAGCAGTAACGAGAGAGTAGACCAGGACTGGAGGTGCTCGGCTACTGTCCTCTGGCCCAGGATAGGGTTTGGCCAAAGTATTGTCATAGCAGAAGAATCCTTGAAAGTGCACTGGGAAAGTGTCGGAATACTCAAAGTGGTAAGCCAGGACCACTGTGCCAGCCATGATCCCCAGCTGGAAAAAGAACAGGATGGCACATCAGACACCAGTAATAGAATGGGAGGCAAGATCTTTCAGATCTCTGGAATCACAGGTGGTTGCCACCTGACCATCATGGCATGCAAATTTCTATGCCTCCTTTCTTATTCAGATACCAGGTTGAGGAATAAGAGAGGAACCCAGCTTCCTGGGCTAAAATAAGGCGATTGTGTTCCTCTCCTATGTCCCCCCCCNTAGTAATTTAGTAATTTAATAAATTTATATGCCGCCCAATCCTGTAGGACTCTGTAAAATCAAAGCTGATCCTTTTTCCTTGCTGGGATAAGTTTTGCTCACAGTAGGCAGTGCTTGGTCGCAAAAAATAGTTCTCCCCAATCTCCTGTTCTGGAGAAAAGATCCCATGAATGTTTCTTTCACGCTGTGCCCACCAGAGGGCATTTCAGATTCCTCAGAGGAATTTACCAAACCTTAACCAGTCCTGCCCCTGTGTATATTGTCAACTCTGGCCTCTACCCACTCCAACTGATACAAATGGGGGTTCAGGCAGGGCATGGGAAGGGAACTGGGTGGCAAAATACTGGAAAGACCTCAAAACTGCCCCCCTCCACCCTCCGTCTTTCTGCCTGTCCTGTCACCCAGCAGCCACTTCATACCACAGTGTACGCCACCGCGTAGGCGCTGAGGGCAGCATCCTTGGAGGGGAAGGCCTTGCAGGCGGCAGTGACCAGCAGAGGATTCCCAGTGCAGGCTGATTTGTCTGTGACGTAAATGGTGCCCGGGGGTGGTTGGCAGCCCAGCACAGTGTAGTTTGGTTGGCACACGGACAGGAAATGTGGCGTCTGGTTGCCGGTCACCACTTGGCCTGCATTGGCAAAGATGGTGGTAGTGAAGAGGCCGAAGGAATAAACACCTATGAAAGGAAAAGGACAGGAATGAGGAGGGGGAGGAGAGCCTGGGGGACTCGGCTGGGTCTAGGGGGGGGGGAGGGCATCCTCCTCTTACCCAGGAAGCGGATCATGCGGCGCAAAAGGGGATTGAAATAACAGCACTCGCCCGAGATGATGGTTTTCTCCTTATGCCTCGTGGGTTGGAAGAAGAAGGCAGCCAGTTCCCCAACAAGTATCTGAGGTGGGAGAGAGGAAGAAGCAGAAAGAGAAATTGCACTTCCTCTTTAATAGCGGTTGTTCAAAGGAAGCTCTGTGCGGAAAAGGCTGGCCAAGGGATTTGCAAAAGGGCTGGGAGGATTCCTTCAAGATTCCTGACGTTTCCTCCCATAAGTGAAGTATTGCTAAGACTTAGCATTGGGGGGGGGGGATGTTTGAGAGGAAGTGACACTATTTTCTAGCCTCCAAAGGTACAAGAGAACCCAGCCCAAGTCAAGGGATAAGCGGACTATGCATTTCCATGAGGATAAATATAGACACTTCCCCACCCCCCCACTCTGTAGCCTAGATAAGTTCTAGGTTACGGATGAGTTTTGTAACCTAGATTCAGGAAGGGCTGGCAAAACAGATTGAAAAGCATTTTCATAGATCAGAATAGAAATACATGTTTTTTACATGACTTTTGGAAAAAAAATGCAATTCTACTGTAGATTGTATCTGTAGCCGTTCAGAGCACAATAGGACTACATCAGTGGGGATTTATTTCAAAGCAAATCATGATTTNCTTTAAAGGTAATAACCAACACCTTGAATTGCATCCAGAGACCAATTGGTAGCCAGTGCAGCTCGCGGAGGACAGGTGTAACATGGATGTACCTCGGTGCACCCAATATCGCTCGCGCGGCTGTGTTCTGGACTAGTTGCAGTCTCCGAACGCTTTTCAGGGGCAGCCCCATGTAGAGAGCCTTGCAATAATCAGCCCGGGCCCAGAGAGAAAGCCAATCTGTTGATGGTAATGCTTTGTGTGCGATATCTTTGTAAGTGAGGAAACAAAATTCTGGGGTCTGAAGAGAAGAAAAAGGTGTGCTGGGAGAGGATCAGCCTCAACCTCAGATGCCAGCATCTCATTTAAGCCCCCTGTTCATGGTTGCTCTGCCTGGCACAAGGCCTAACAGTTAGATTAAATCTCCAGTTCAAATTCCCCATATGTTTGAAAATAGGATTTTCAGGAGAACAGTAGGAAATTTAAATGGCAGCTGGACCAACCTGTCCTCTTCTTGTCCCATAAATCGCCATGTAAACGCATTGAAGAGGTAGAAGAAGCCCACTGAAAGGCATTTTGCCTCAAATATAGTGCCACCTGTGCATGTTTTTGTGTGGGTAAGTGTTTTAGATTAAAGAGAAAAGCTGAAGAAGAGGAGGAAACCTGCAGGGGTGCATCAGGAATATCTCTTACCTGAGCCACACTTAACTTGTTAAGGGAACTGTCAACACAGGGCAATCCTAAGACTGGAACACTGGGTGCTTTTTCAGGTGAAGAAACTTTCTTGGCGGAGGATACAGGGCTTTGGAAATTGTTGACCACACATGTCACCTATCCAACAAAGAGAAGAAGAGCAGCATTAAAGAGCTCTTTTCCTGATTTCTGCCAACAGAAAGTACTTTGCATCAGAAGGAACATTCAACAGAGCTTTGCAACTGATAAACCCATCAGCACAATCTCTCGTTTGGCCTTTCCAATTCCTTTTGCCATCTGCTTCTTGATCAAGCCCCGGTTTTTCTTCATCATTGTCCCATCTGTCTTGTTATGAGCCATTAGGTCAGGAGTGGACTCGCTTTAGTATTCACTAGTACGGAGTGAATAGCCGGGCATGACAGGGGAACCATGAGCTGCCTTTTTATTAAAATGCAAAAAGGAATGAGGGCAGGGTGTTCATTTGAGCAGAGGGAAGTGACTGGTTGAACCTCTCAGCCGTACAAAAGGGGGTAAAATGTTATCTTGTGTTTTAGTAGGAACCAAACTAGTTTACTTTTCCGTCACCCCAACCCAGAATAGCCACTTCTCCAGACTGCATTATGCTGTACTCTATAAATAAATTTTCAGTTTGTTTACTATGCACAAATGTATATAAAGAAAATTGCTTACAAATATGAAGAAAATTAAGAGAAAATTATTTGCAAAATATATACACCACAGAAAACGTCTACAGTAAATCTTTAAGGGCTGTGAGACAGACTGCACAGAGTCCTCTGTTCCCATCCCATCGCTTGAGGAAAAAATAGACATTTTTCCTTCTACGGAGGAGGAGGAAGAGAGCATGGACAAAGAGATATTGGGGGAAAAAGAGCTATGCCACTTGAGTTAGCTTCAGTCAAATAAGAAATGGCCCCATTCATGTCTGCATTTGGGAAAACTATAACACAGTCATCAGAAACTAATGCAAAAATGTATTATGCATTCAAGATAGATAGTGGTTAATATTTATATGTATTTATATATTAGGATGTAGGTATATACGTACATATGTATATATATACATGAGCCGAGGTGGTCCAGTGATTAGAGTGCAGTACTGCAGGCTACTTCAGCTGACTGCTAGCTGCAGTTCGGCAGTTCAAATCTCACCAGTTCAAGGTGGGTAAAATGAGGACCCAGATCATTGGGGGGGCAGTATGCTGACTCTGTAAACCGCTTAGAGAGGGCTGTAAAAGCACTATGAAGTGGTTTATAAGACTAAGTGCTATTGCTATTGCTACGTATATAGCATCTCTATATGTGTGTTGTGTATAGTATGTATACACTTTTGAAGCAGGCCACAGAATTTCATTTTTAATGTGTGCCAGAGTCCCCCCAGGAAACAAAACGACAATAAAGGGTTTCTTATAAGGTAAGCTGCCCCCCAAGATTCTCATCTTCCCTTAGAATAGTATCACTGGCCTGGCCTTTAAGTTTTAACCCTTTCATACTGATAAAGGAATAGTTTTTGAAACTGCCTGACGACACACCATATTTAAAAAGGGGTCTGAAAAATCTGGTAAAAAGGCTCCCACAACAGCACTGCCACTATATAAAAGTTAAAATAGCAAAAAAAAAAAAAATAGTAAGAGAACACCTGTCTGACCTTGATGGACACAAATCACGGGAACCTGACGGACTACATCCCAGAGTCCTAAAGGAGCTGGCAGATGTCATCTCAGAGCCACTGTACCACAAAACCCCTGGAGCACCGGGGAACTACCGGAGGAGTGGAAAAGAGCTGATGTGGTTCCCATCTTCAAAAAAAATGGGGGGGGAGGAAGAAACAGATGCAGGAAACTACAGACCAATCAGCCTAACATTAGTTCCCGGGAAAATACTGGAAAAGATAATAAAAAAGACAGATCTCATCTAGAAATGAGTGAAGTAATAAGTAGCAGCCAGCATGGGTTTGTTAAAAACATATCATGCCAAACCAACTTTATTTCATTCTTCAACATAGTGACTAAATTAGTAGGCCAGTGAAATCCTGTGGATATCATATACTTAGACTCCCGCAAGGCATTTGACAAAGTAGACCACAACCTACTTCTTGGCAAGCTAGAAAAAAAGTGGGATAGACAGCATTACCACGAGCTGGATTTGTAACTGGCTGACAAACCGTACCCAATGAGTAGTCCTTAATGGGTCTATATCTACATAGAGGGAAGTAAGCAGTGGGGTACCACAAGGTTCTGTCTTAAGCCCTGTACTCTTCAATATCTTCATAAATGACTTAGATGAGGGAGTAGAAGGGGAACTTACCAAATTTGCAAATGATACTAAGCTGGTAGGAATAGCTAACACCTTAGAAGACAGGCTCAAGATCTAGATGGATCTTGACCGACTTGAACACTGGGCCCTGTCTAACAAAACGAAATTCAATGTAGAGAAAAGTAAAGTCTTACACTTAGGAAAGAAAAACCAAAAGTACAGATATAGATTGGGTGAAACCAGGTTTAAAAGCAGCAACTGTGAGAGGGATCTTGGAGTCTTAGTGGACAACCAGCTAAATATGAGCCAGCCTTGTGCAGCAGCAGCCAAAAAAGCCAATGCAATCCTAAGTAGCATTAACAGAGGGATAGAATCAAGATCAAGGGAGGTACTAATACCACTCTATAAAGTCCTAGTAAGACCACACCTAGAATACTGCATCCAGTTTTGATCAACGCACTATAAAAAAGATATTGAGACTAGAAAAAGCGCAGAGAAGATCAACCAGGATGATTAGGGGACTGAAGACTAAAACATATGAAGAACCATTACAGGAACTGGGCCTGGCTAGTCTAGTGAAGAGAAGGACCAGGGGAGACATGATGATAGCAGTCTTCCAATATTGGAGGGGCTGCCACAGAGAGGAGGGGGGGGGGTCAAGCCATTTTCCAAGGCACCCGAAAGCCAGACAAGGAATAATGGATGGAAACTGACCAAGGAGAGATTCAACCTAGAAATGAGAAATTTTCTGACAGTGAGACAATGGAACAACTTGTCTTCCGAAGTTGTGGGAGCTTCATCACTGGAGGCTTTCGGGAAGAGATTGGAATGCCATTTGTCGGAAACAGTGTACGGTCTCCTGCTTGGGAAGGGGGGGGGGTTTCGACTAGATCAGTGTTTTTCAACCTTGGCAACTTGAAGATGTCTGGACTTCAACTCCCAGAATTCCCCAGCCAGCATTCGCTGGCTGGGGAATT